GTTTAAAACAACTCCAATAATCTCTTGACTAGACAAAGCTTATGTAAAGACTTCTTGTTTTCTATTGGTTACTATCAAATATAGAACTGTAAGCATACATTAAAAACACAATTTAGAAATAACTACTGTTTCAACATAATAAACATAATAGAAAAATAAGTAAGTAAATAAAACACAATTCAGGCAGATTACCACGGCTGCTAAAAAGACGTAGTTTTTTTTAATGTGCATATACAAAAATTAAGACTCCACCAAGCAACACCATTTACACTGAAGATATATAAAATTTGGTTAAATTAAATGCAAAGCAGGCAACTCAGGCGACTGAAAAAAAATCAAACTAACAATTTTGTTTTCTCACATATCTTTGGCCAGACAGAACATGCAATAACCACTGCTCATTACAGCTGGAGATCTATTATACAGGATCACTATTGAACCGCAAATTAAGTCTTAAACATATATCAAAAGTAGAAAATTACAAAAGGAAAATGTAAAGAACTTTTAAAATAACCTGTACCTATAAAGGTTTTTCTTTACTCTCCAATGATTAATCACACATATACTGATACCCATTGCTGAGATTAACTCTTTCCTTTGCTATGCTCCCCAACTTTCCAAAGATATACCATAGAGCTCCACTGTACAGTAAAACTATTACTGTTACGTTCAAGGCTTTGAATAATCTAATAGCAATTTTAGAGCACTAATACAAGAGGTTTTTTTAAAAAAACAAACAAAAAGCGTGAGACACAAAAAAGTCACATTAAAGAGATATGAATGTTATCCCATTGAGCTGTAGTAGATCATTGTGTATGTTAACGTAAATTTTAAGCTCAAAAGTTAACTTGCAGCATCAAAAAACTGAAGTCTTCCATCTATTATAAAGAACCCGAAGTAAAAAGAACATGCTATTCACTGTTTACTCCCTTCCTACACATGACTGTGGGTGACATCAGTTAAACATGCAGAATATTATGCATTACTAAACTGTCCAAAGTGTATTTTCACATCTAACCCTATATTCCCAAAAGATAATTTGAGCTTGCGCCTGTTCACCACCCATTTTAATTCATAGTTCTTCAGGCCATGGGTCCTGAAGTCAATAAGGTCTTAAAGAACAAATGAAAAAGGAATGCAGAACTTAATTTCATTAAAATCTTAAGTGTTTGGGCTTTAAAAAAAATCCTAACTAAATAGACTTCAAAATTACCAAACTCATAATTTGTTGGTTTAGTAGTTTAGCTGTTGTCTCAGCACAATAAATCTGAAGCCACAATCATCATCTATTTAAAATTATTTGCAAATAAGAATTCAAAATATGTAACTTGTCTTAACATCTTTCTAAAGCTAAAATGAATATGAAATATACAAACTAATATTAACAGTTATGAAATGTCTGTTCCCAGAGGAAGGTGGAATTTTGTTTTCACAATTACGGAACACACTTCATCGAACAAAATTAAATATCCATTATTTTGGATTCTCTAGAACTTTAACATATATTCAAAAATACATCATATGAGAAAAACCCTGACATTGAACACCACAAAACTGCAGAAAGTAAGGCACTTACCTCCAAAGAATTTAGGAGCAATTCACAAATACACTAAGGAGACAGAGTTTTAACTGCATTGCACTTTTATTTTAGTTGATGGGTAATGGTCAGAATTTTTGTAATAGGAAACATTAAAATATTTTACATATGAACTTTTAACTATAGCACCAGATCCTTGGGGCAGATTAACTCATTTCGTATGCAAACATCCATTTTCATACGGGTTAAAAAAAATCCCCCTCCCCCACTGCCAGTCTCTGATACCTCGGAATGCTATAGTTATTTCACGGTGGGAAAGAATGGCTAGTAAGTACATTTCTTTTCCAATTCTTTTCTCTATCCATTCATTAAACACCAAATACTGAAACTGATTTCAACTCCTACTTCAATCTTCCTACCAGGAATGCTCCCTAGGGCACCTGAATCCCTTCCACTGTCACTTATTCCAAACTGCCAAAGCCCCTCCTATTAATAGTAAATCTTTTCATACTGATGACTCACTGTAACTCCAACTTAATGAAATAGACACCAAGCAGAATTTACAAAATTTGCAAATGAAATTTTCCTATTTTCAAAGGATTAAAAAAGAAACTAAAAGTAGAGCACATTCAGACTAAGTTACAAACATTTAAAGTTCAACCAATTTATAAGTTTTTACATTGCTTTTTCTACACGGGTTCAAATTAAATACTTTTTGTAAGCTGATATATTAGCATTGTGTAATTACTTATACACAAGCACAAGTTTCCCATGCAAATAACTGATATGTAAATATAAATTTAAGTCATTACAACGAAATTGCAAGACAATTTGAAAAATTTTCAAGTTTAATTATGCAAATTTAAGTATACACAAAAGTAGAGAGAATAGTACAATGAGCTCTCCTGTACTCACCATCCAGCTACAATTATCAACTCAAGGCTATTTTTGCTTGATCTCTACCTTCCACCACTTCCTCCCCCAATTATTATCTTCAGAAAAGAATTAAGAGGAAGACACTGTGCTCCGGAAGTACATTGAGAAAAAATCCAAAGATAACACTAGCAAGTATCTAAGACTAGCAAGACAAGAATCTAACAGGATAGCTATACAGCCACCCTCTACACGACTCCTTGTTACGTGGTAAATTTAAGAATTCAGTTAAAAACAAACAAAAAAAATAGCCATCTTTAAGAATTTTAATGACGTCTATAAGATCCTGAGGACATATTTAAAATTATATCTAAAAGGATAAATAGGAGTGTGATGAAAATGAACTTTAACATGTGCAATTAGCTTGCATCTATGTAGCACCTTGGCTCAAAATGAGGAAAAAAGACTGTTTAACATGTGTCATAAAATTACAATTCAACCACTTGAAAGACCGCTGAACACTTACTTATGCCTTAACTGGTCCTCCTGATCCCTAATTATAGATATCAATGTAGAAAGAAAACCAGGCATTTTAACGTTAAGTGGTTTAAAATGTTCAAAATTAACTCCATCGTTCATTGGAAAAATATATGAAAGCAAGTCTAAACTACCTGAATTATATGTCATTAAACAAAAATGTATCCATTTTTCTGGATTTAAATAAGTTCACATATACCCTTAAACGCAACGCGCTAGTCCACAGATAGAATTAGGAGACCGCCTCCTGCTTTAGCTCCTAACCAATACGCAGAGAGAAGGTTGGCAGGAAAGTGCTGCGAGGACAGTAACAAACACCAGCAGCTCCCGAGCAGGCCCTGCTAGAGCCAGGAATGACGCACTTCGGTAACCCGACTCTTTCTCCCCTCCACCCCCCGCCCCCAGCAGCGGTGCTGACACCGCCAACAGCCCGGAGTAGGAAAAAGACAACAGAAAAAAGGCAGAGGTTGGACTGCACCAGGATTCATCAAGAAACCTCGATTATTCCTCTTTCGACACTAACCACTAGGACTAAACAGGAAAGGAAGCTTCGTGCTTAAGCAAGTTCCATCATGGTGGTTTAAGAGTCACTAAATTAGCTGATAATGAGTCCAATCCACCGAGACAAATGCAGGGTGTGGCTGCTGTGAAATACGGCGGTCCGTGGGAGAAAAGGGGTATAGAATTTACACTCCAGTGTGAGAGGAAGATGGGGCTTCACGGGGGGGGGGGGAGCATTTTAAGGAACCATTTCAAACCAATACAGCTTTTCATTTACTTCAACCTAATCCTACAGATCAAAAGTTTCTAATAGATATATCACGTGAACTGTACAAAAAAACATTTAATCGAACACCATGACCCCCAATTTAAAAACTCCAAGAGAAAGGAGGGCGGTGATAGGCAACAACGTATAAAACATTTCTAGGCCACGGAGAAAGTCACAAACCGGATGAAACTACTAATGTGATATTAAAAATTAAAGCTGAACACAGCAGCACGAAAAAAATCACACGATAAAACCCGTTACAGTTCAGGATTTAAAATAAAATGACATGTACACCAAGGGGCAGCGGAAACTAAATGTCGAAAGTACAGCGTCTTATTAAAAACTAAAAGCAAAACAAGACATTCTCGCGACGGAAAAAAAAAAAGGGCAGAAATCAACAATACGTTTACAATGTAGGCCAGAATGGGAATGGGGCTCAAAGTTTTGCGAAACTACTTGATGCTGTTTCCCACACCGTCTCTTTCCAATGGCCCATCTGACCCTTTTCGTCCCTAAAATCGCCGTCCACAGATCAGCGGGTGAGAGAGAAAAAAAAGTCAACCCCCCGCCAGAATAAAAGTGTGGAGGGAAAAAGCAGAAGCTGCCTACCTGGGGCAAGGATCAGATCAGTTCGTGTCTTGAGAAAGACAGCGCGGGTGGGGGTGGGAACGAAAAGCAGCACTAAAACTAAAACAAAAGTGGCGCCAAAACCCCCCAACAAACAGCCTTCCACTCCCGCCCTTCCCCCCTTCCTCCCATGCCAGCCAGGCAGGGCCCCCTTCGGGGCAAGGGCTGCACGCGGGGGACAACACCGCCAGACCCCAACCTATTTATAAAATTGTTGTCCGAAGAAAACTGACCGAAGTCGGGCCTCGGAAGGGATGGAGAGATCGATGCCAATCGCTTTCCCCAGCAGTTCCCCCACCACGCGCTGGAGATGATGGGGCGGGGGAGAAGCAGAGGGGCCCGTCACATGAATGTTGTTCCCTCTCTAGGAAGGGAGGAAGAGAGGGAGGGAGAGGAGGGAGGGAGGAAAGGAAGGAGGGGAAGGGAGAAGGGAGGGGGCACGAGGGAGGGGTGTGATCAGAGTAGATTTTCCCTCGCCTCCCTCGGTCCGAGGCCCAAATATACACAACTGAGCCTCCTCTCCTCCCCTCCCCCCAGGTTCCCAGCACCACCATTTTGCTCTCCTCCTTCCCCTCACCGCGATACCGCGCTCTCCCCCACCCAACCACAGCCTCCCCGGCTTGCCTCCCCCGACTACGGCTCGCACTCCACCCCACCTCCAGTTTTGACTCTCCCAGCCTCAAGAGCCTGCCAGAGAAAAGGCACCTAAATCTAATGCTACACAGAGAAGCGGAGCCTCCATCTTGCGCTGCTCTGCGTTCTCCATTTTGGGCCACCCTTGGGGGGAGGGGGGTGGTCTCCGTAGAGGCCCCGAGGGAGAGTGGGGCGAGGGAAGGAAGAGAAAATCTTCAGGGAGGGTAGTCGAAAAGAAGAGTCCTGCGGTAGAAAGCCACTCTAGGAGTAGGAGGTAGGGAAGAAGGGGGCTGGAAGTTCCTTGACAGTGTGGACGTAGCGACTTGGTACAACGGAGAAAAGGGCTAGGGGTTATGCGGGGATGACAAGTACCCCCGCCTTGACTTGGCCACCCGCTCTACGGCTGGCCCCGCTGGGGGCAAAGGAAGAGGGGAAATTAAATGGCAACGGAGCGCCCAATCGCTTTTCCTCCCAACTCCTCTCTCGCGCCCTATTTCGACCGTACACACCTCATGGTGGGCCCCGCGCCGTCCGGGTGCCCCTCCAAACTTCTAGAAGCTTCGCCTCCGCCATTTTATAACTTACCTCCCCCCTCAGCGTACACAGAGGCAGCAACGAGACTGTTCGCCTCCCCCACTCCTTCCTTCTTTCTCAGGCCGGGGGCTTCTTCACCCCTGGGCTGGTACAAGATATTTTCCCCTTCCTCTTCTTTACACCCTCGAATTCTACTCAGGGACGGAAGCTCCCGCGGTTCTAGAGCGGTGGGGGGTTTTGAAAGTGGCGGTCGGATCCGGCGGGGGTTTTTTTTTTTTTTTTTTTTTTTTTTTTTTTTTTTTTTCGTTATGGTCTTTTGGGAACCGTGGAGAAAACTTCGGGATTGTTTGGGGTGTTCGCTCTTCGGCGACTTGGAGGCGAATGGAACGCGCAGGCGCCATCTGTCGGCCACGAACCCGCGTTCGGCTCCCGTTGGGAGGGAGCGGCATCTAGCGTCAGCGTGCTAGCACTGCAGCGCGGGGCTCCCACCCCTCCCACTCCGCGTACTCCTCCCAGTCACCAGCCAATCGCGGCTGGCTGCCTCCTGGGTGCAGCGTCTCGGACGCCACCGCCAAACGAGGCGCCCGCAGGGGCGCGCCGCCGAGTGGGGTAAACAAGGTGCCGTGCCCGCGCTTGACTTACTCATTCGTTTGGCAGCGCTTCCGCCAGGGACCTGATAGGGCCGTGTTTCCTCTTTCTTTATGGGGGCCAGGGGCGGGGGTCGACCAGAGGCAGATAGGAATGTTCGGCGCAGCACTGGGCCGTGGGAAATCGGAAACCGGGCTCGCTCGGAACTCGTCCCCTGGGCCCCTCCGCCACCCGCGCAGCCCGAAGTGGCAGCCGAGTTGGACATCACCCTGCGATGTCCCCTCTGACACGCCCCAGCGAGGGACCTTGGCCCTAGTTCCCGAACCGCGGCCCCTACTCCTAACCACCAAAAGGACTCAACTCTTGTTAACTCTGGCATTTGATCCTAAGTGATTTAAGCGTTTTGTGTTTTGAGTTTTTGTTTTGTGTGCTTTTTGCTCCGGGTGTGGGAGAAAGCAAGCTGATTCTCTACCAGGAAGACCTGGCACTGGGAAAAAAAAATTTATTCTTGACAACTCGAGATTCACGTCTCCCAGAAAACGTGGTCTGTCTCTCCGGGGTCTGGGAGACGCTGGGAGCTGGGCTACTGGGCTAGGCCCGGCGCTGGACCAATTTATTGTCGACTCT